AAAAACTTTGGATCCACGGCATTAATTTCTTCCACAACCTCAGCAGCCAATCTTTTACTTGCAAGTTCTCTAATGCCCAAGACAATCTCATATTTATCATCCTTGCCAGTAGATTCTAATGGTAAATGTTTTTCAAGGTTCTGCAGAAAAAAGTTCAGTCAGATAGTTTCATTAGATGAATTAAAATATAGTCATGGATGTACCTGTTGTTCCTTAGACATGGTCGTACTGGCCACAGTTGTAGTGCTAACTTCTTGTTTACTGCATCCACTGTAAGACAAGTCACGAAGTTCTCTATCATCATGTCTTCCTCTCCATCTCTTTCGCTTGCTCCTTTCTACAATCCCACGGTTCTTGTTTACTTGTAATGTTCTTGAATTTCCCACATGAATTAAATCACTAGTGCTACAATCTTCTCGATTGGACATTGGCTCCAATGAATATCGTAAGTCAGTCTCGGTACCTTGAGAACTAGTCACATCAGCAATATTTTCAGGAGAACTATCCACACGGGAATTGTTGACAGAAATTTCACCATCCGAAAGTTTACTGGTTGCATAGTCGACTTCAAGAGAGCAATTCCTTGATGAACAATACTCCAGCTCAGATTGATCAACTTTCAATGAACTAGAGCGATTCTGCATCCCTAATTATCAAGAAATGACAAACAGGTTTAAAAGGCATACAAGCTTATTGATAAAAAGGGATAAAAGTTTGAGTTTCACCAGAGAGAGCCCCACGACCAGAGTCCACAATTCCTCTGTAGATGCAATACTCACGAACAAGCTCATCAAGTACAGAAAGGTCCAATTTCATCCGGCACAACTCATTCTGCGATATGTATGTAAAACTCAATCAATGAGACCATCATGAAACTGAAACAAAATGAACAATACTATTTTAATTGACTAGATGATTGGAATCAAATGTCATAAGCACAAAAACACAAGAGAATAATGTAAATAATATAATATTTTAAATAATTAAAGAAAAGGTAAATATCAATACAACTGAGTAGATAGAACCATTCTTCATGCTAGAGAAAATCAAGAGATAAAGAGTGAGGATTCTACAGTCGGTAAATTTCAACAAAATTTTCAGAACAAACAACAAACTGTCTCCCAACTCTTAACAGATTTACTTCTACATACACTAAATTTTCATATGAACTATGGTCTTGCTCTTGCCTTACATGTCTCAATGATCCCACTTCCCATCAACCTTATATTTCAATACGAAGAACCATTTCTATTCACCAACCCATCAAGACAGTGTCACATCCTCTGTGTCCCATGCTAGTACCAATTACAAGCATGCCGTCCAATGAGGTTATGGTTCACACTGTCTAATGCAACATAAAGCAGCATAGAGTACTTTTAGCAGCTATACCCGAGATTTGTACAAAAAGAACCTAATAACAGTGAAGCATAGACCAGAAAGGATAAAATTATAAGCCTTCACGTAGATGCTAACCTGGAATGCATGAAATAAATCACCTTTGGTGAATCTCAAGCTATCAATTGCCCCCTGCCTTGTTAGCTCTACAGCATGTGCAAGAGCTTGAATGTCCACCTGCACTCATATTAAGATCAAAAAATAAGAGGCGAAGAAAATAACAACTCCTGGCAGCTAGTAACCATACACGCAAATAGGAGCAAACTCTCACGTTGTACCACATCACTAGATGGACTAACTAGAAGCTCAAGTTCTTTAAATTAAAATTCTAATTAAAAAATCAGGCATCTCACCTCATCAAATGGAGGTGCTTCATGCAGACTCTCCGTGGGCGTGGCAGGTGGATCACGTTCATCTAGAAGCAACCTCTCAGTGAGATCTGATATGGGAGACAACACGCCTTCACGAAAGCAAAAACCTTTATGTATGCTGCAAGAAAAGGCAAAGAATAATATAGGAACTTAAATTTTAGATTCAACAAAATTTTTATCAACTGATCTATTATGGGTGGGGGACAAGAAAAAAGAAAATGAAGAAAAAACCTTATCAAGTATCTCAAAGTCATTGAGAAGACTGGATCATATGCCTGCATATGAGCTCGTAGGACTGAGGACATTAACCCAGCAATATCAAACCTCCTACTTTCACACCACTGAAACATGAGAAAATGCACCTTCAGTAGAAAAACTAAATGCAGTTCCCAATTCCACCCTGTTCAGAGTCTTCAGACCACTGAAAGAGAACATATTGCACCTAGAACTAAAAATATCGAGTTGAAAGATGTTCTTTGAGAATTATGTTGTTCAGACTCCAAAGGATAAATTTTGCAACATATTCAACTTGAAAATTTTAAAATACACACAACATAAACATAAAAGAAAAAGCAACTATGAATGAAGAGATGCGAATTCACATCTCAAATAAAAATTAATAATGTTTATTTAAAATAAAATAAACTGTTTTTTATGAGTTTCCAAAGGAGAACAACTCTTCTTTAAAAATATGCAAAGAACAAAAAAAAAAAAAAAAAAAAAAA